TTTTTTTTTTTTTTTTTGTTTGATTTTTTTTTTGATTTTGTTTGATAAATCATGAAATATTAGGGTTCATCATGAATGTGTCTACCATGTTCATGAGCCAACAAATTACTCAACAACCATTGATAAATCTTCCCCCTCGAAGAATTAACACCAACCCTTTCTTCAACGTTAGGAAGCTTGAAAAAGAGAAAGTGGTGATTGTGATTGGCGCCACTGGAACGGGAAAATCTCGACTTTCGATCGATATCGCTACCCGATTTCCGTCGGAAGTCATCAATTCTGACAAAATGCAAGTCTACGACGGTCTGGATATAGTAACAAATAAGGTCACTAAACAAGAACAACGCGGTGTGCCTCATCACTTGCTTGGAATTATTGATCCTTTCTCTGATTTCTCGGCTACCAACTTCTCTGATATGGCTATGCTTTCTTTGGTCACTATTCTCGGCCGTGACCGTCTCCCAATCATTGCTGGTGGCTCGAATTCTTACGTTGAAGCTTTAATTGACTCGAACTTTCAATCGAAATACGAATGTTGCTTCCTTTGGGTGGATGTGTCAATGCCTGTACTTCATTCCTTTGTATCCAAACGAGTTGACAAGATGGTAGCGAATGGGATGGTCGACGAGGCCGAAGAATTCTTCGATCCGGCTGGTGATTATTCTCGTGGGATCAAAAGGGCAATTGGGGTTCCCGAATTTGACTCGTATTTTCGATACAGATCATTATTAGACGACGAAACTCAAGAGAAACTTTTGCAAGAAGCCATATCAAAAGTAAAGAAGTACACATGCAAGCTAGCATCGAGGCAAATGGGGAAGATCCAACGGCTGAGAAACATCAAGGGATGGAAGATACACAGGTTGGATGCGACCGAGGCCTTTAAAAAACAAGGGAAAGAAGCCGAAGAAGAATGGAACAAGCTCGTTACAGTGCCTAGCACGACGATAATCGACCAATTTCTTCACTCGAACGTCATCACCACAAAAGTCCCGACGAATTTAGCAACCCTCCTCGACCTGTCGAGGATGAGAAGTGCAGCCATTGCAGCTGCAACTCCTTGAACAATGAAGCCAAGAAAATGGTGCACATGGAACAAATTTTGAAGGGACTTTCAATGCTATAAGATCAAATATTGGACGGTCAAGATTAAAAAGGAATATATACATTACAAAAGCTAAATCATTTAGAGATGATTCTATATTGTGTGTATTTTATTTATCATTTTTCTTCTCATAAATAATGAAATTTTGTTCTTATTAACAATCGTTTCTTGATTTTCTCTCGAAATTATTCATACCCATCTACGACCATTTGATCGAGATCGAGTAGCTATAACATATTCATTTAGAGATCGGAATCTTGTTTCGAGTACACCTATTTTAGTAGCAACTGTTCTAAAGTCGGTGAGTCTAGTTCAAAAGCAACTTTACTTGATATGTCACAATCGATGTGCTTTGTGATGAAATTGTCATTGCTAGTACCCATGTTGCTAAAGTCGATTTTAGAAATTAGGAGTCCAAAATGAAACTCGCAAATCTCTTCTTCATGACACCGTGCATTTGAGTTTGTTTTGGCCCGTTATGTTATCGTTGTCAACTTCATGGATTTGAAACGCATCTATTAGGGAGAGGTTTCCACACATTTATAAGAAATGTTTGGTTCCCCTTCAACTGATGAGGGACCTCACAATCCACCCCCTTGGGGGCCCAACGTCTTTGCTTGCACGTCGCCCATCGTTTGGCTATGATACCATTTGTAATAGTCTGAGACCACCACTAATAGATATTGTCCGTCATGACCCGTTATTTCATATTGAAAAAGAGAGAGAGAGAAGAAGAAGAAGAAAAAAAAAAAAAAACTTTCACATCCTAATGTACTCCTTTAATGATATTGGCAAGAATCTAGTCTTGATTGCCTATATTAAAAAAAATCTTGTTTGATTGACATCTTTTATCCTAATTTTAACTTAGACACGATGAATGAAGACATGTTGACCAATTCATAGGTTTGAAAAAGAAATGTAAACCAGATATCTATTAAAATTAAAATCGAAACTTCAAATGACACACTCGAGATATTAAAGTCAATAGACTATGCATATCAACGTCTTAGTTGAACTTTGAAGCACGAAGAAGACGACACAATGCATGACATCGGAACTGTAAGATCTCACATCAATTGGAGAGAAGAACGAAACATTGTTTATAAGGGTGCGAAAACCTCTCCTTATAATATGCGAGTTTTTAAAACGGTGAAGTTGACAACAATACGTAACAAACTAAAATAGACAACATATACTAACAGTGAGATTGAGATTTAGACGATCACATAACAAAGCAAATAAACAAAAAATTGAAGTGTAGGATATGATGAAGATCCAAAATCTTTGTAGTTTTAAAGACAAAAAGGGAGAATCTTAGATAAGAAGTAGGATATGCTTGAAGGGTAGCATTAATGTAATACATGGTCGTGGTGTGTGGCGTGTGGCGTGCGGCGTGGTGGCATTGCGGCAGGGGGATTGAGTGAAACACCACATGACGCAGCGCCCATGGCCCGAAGACCTGACTTTATGGGCGACCCAGTGGGCACTCACACTATGTGTAGTTATGGTAGCAATTAAATGAAGTGGCTTAGAGGTTTTACTCAAAAAGATAAGAGACTTGCAATGAATCCTTTTCAATCAATCTTTCTATTGTCTCATCATCCCACTCTGCTATTCCCTAATTTTATCATTTTTTTTTGCTTTTTTCGATTATAGAGTTTAGAATTAACCCCGAGTCGTGTTCGATCCACCAATTTATGGTCGAGTTGAGTTGACTAAAATACAACAATTCAATTCTTGTTTGACTATTATACTTCACAACATAGTGGGTAAATAGTTCTATCTTGCATATTGGAACGTATGCACCTGAAAGACTTTCTAAACCCAAACTAAACCTCGAACCTCATGTTTGGTCATGTTTGGTCCAACGAGTCCGATTTCTCTAATACATCGTGCAATGATTCTCTTTGCCTACATTTGTGTCGGTCTTATACATATGGTGCAATATCAAAGTACTTAAAAGCCAAATTTGCTAGTCACTGTTTTCCTATTGTAGCATCGTTTTTGGTTTTTCAATGTCTTGCAGATACTGTTCGTTTCGGCTACCTAGCCCCGTAAGAGGACTTGATACCCGAATTCCCAAACCCGCCTCAATCATCTAATTCTTCTTCCCTCAAAAAAACAAACATTTGGAACTACTTTTCTTCACTTTTGAAGCTTGATAAGAACTTCAAAGATGTATGGAAACTAATACAAGTAATAAAGAGCAAACATGCTTCATTTCTCAAACAAAACAGAACAAAAGGCTAATAATATCATTAGGTAGTAAAATGTTGTCACCAATCCAGCAAAACAATTACAGGGCAGCAGTAAAAAGGTTAAAAGCTCATCAAAACCCACATTTCACACAGCAGAAACTTAATCTCAAACCCCAAGAACAGACAAACAAAACAAAGAGAATTCTCTCTTCAGATTCCCTTTTGAAATCAACTTTAGTATTAAACAATACCAGCAGGTTCTTTATTCAAACTTCTAGGGAAATAAAATGTAAAAATAGCTATTATTAGATCATAACGACCACTCGAATGCTCTCGGATGCTTGCAGTCATGGAGAGGAAGATCTATATATATAAATGAATATACAAAAGTTGCGATGGAGAGCCACCGTGTAACTTTAATGTTGAACAAGATGTAGCTGCTAATATAAGTACCTTACATTATGTTGTGAGTTAAGAAGATTTCAAATGGACAAGGAGAAGAGGAGGAGAAAACAGGGGTGTCGAGAAGCACAGTTACGAGTTCTTTCTTAATGGATGAGCTGACCGTTACTTTGCTCGAGAGAAAGCAAGGGAAAATATCCAAGAGTTCTTCCATAACTAAGGCATGGGGATGAGGAGACAGACTGCTGATAAGGTAAAGAGGTATGAATCCTTTTAACAACTGCCCTTGTATATTGGCAAACTACCCAGTGAAGGCCTTTCCAACTGATAAGTTACGCTAAAAAAATTGGGGACTCGAGCATGCGTTCTAAATTAAAAGAAAAATCGGAAAAACTGCATAAACAGCCTACATAATTACAGTTCTCAACCATCTCTACAGGATGATATATTACCTATGTACACCCATCGGCACACGTGGATTCCGATCTCACATGCACCCTTGAAGAACCGTGTCGACATCTTAAGGAGTAAGCTAAAAAATCGTTTCTACCTGCAACACCCAATGGTTTATGCAGTTAGCTTAAAGCTTAACTAATAATAATAATAATAATAAACTTTATGACCATTAGTTACCATTTCTAGTAATTAGATTATGTTTCTTCATCTTGGCCGCCAAAAGCTAGGTCCTGAAATACAAAAAAGAACAAATGAACAAAGAGTACATTCATCTTAATGGTCTTTTATGCATCAGCATGATATCATTCATGTCAAATGGCATCAAAATTATATGATATGCTTTGATTTATGTATAGATGAAAAGAACGGCTATAAAATTAGTCAGTCACCTCTATTTGAAACACGCACGGGACCTTCATAAGGTTGTCTATAAGGCATAGAGTTTCTACTGTTTATATCTCGAGAGGGAAATCTCCACCGCTGGCTATGTACTCTTGTCGGTTCACATGGAGTTCCACCGCAAGAAGCAGGACCGTAGGATGTTCTTGCTCTATCGTGATAGCGAGAACCTATATTAAAAAAAGACAGAGGGAGTCAACATTAAAATGTTGCAACAAAGTTAAAAAAGATACTACGACTACAAATTTTACATATCTCTCGTATTGGTTGGTCAAATATGCTACAAACTTTACCGTAGAAAGGTCGTGGAATCCTCCAGCTCTCATGTGGCTCATAGGAGTAATGTCTCATTCTTTCATGGTCATTGTAGAAGCTTTCGCCATCCGTATCTTCAGCATAGCGAAATCTACTTGAGTAAGAAGTGGGTGCGTCCTCCCATCGAGGCTTCATGCGGTGGTCTCCGTGGACATAGGTAAACTGATCTTGTGGTGGAGGATGGGGTGGTCTTAAGGGGTAAGCCTTGTTAGGCAATGCAGTAGAATCATCACGCTGGCCATTATTCAATACTCTAGCAGGGATATTGCTGAAGGAACGAGGAGTACATTCGGGCATCTTCATCTGAAGATCTCTGCGCTCTGATGCGGGGTAGTGAACCGCATCACTTGTTCTTTGAGTAATCCCAGATGCATTTGATGAGGCAGGATAATGTACCGCATCACTTTTTCTTGGAGTCGTCCCAGATGCATTTGATGATTGAACCACTGGTTGCATCGAATTACCTCGAACATTCTGCATGATATAAACCAAAGGGGAAAGAAATAGAAAATTTTAAGTAGAATGAAAAGTAGAATAAATGAAGCAAAAGAACAGGTGCTAACATTTGTCTCCATATAGGAGCGCTCCAACTCAAAATCGCTGGCACATGAATCACTCCTGGAGAATGGAGGAGGCAAAGGCGGAGGCTGGGGAGGAGGGGATGATGGAAGTGGTGGGCATGACGGCGGCACATCCTGAGGTAGCGGAGGAGCTAAAGGTAGAGGAAAATGCTGCTCGAACTTTTCATGCACAGCCTCAACGACATTTACAACTACGGAATTAGAGGAACTCATTTCAACTTCACAAGGGGGAGCAACATCTTCCATTTCAAGCTCACCATCAACATCCTCCAGAATATGCCTACGCTTCTCCGTTACAGGAACAGTCTCAAGTTCTTCACAAGCTTGAGGTGTATGCTCAGGAGTAACAGCCTCAAAACTTCCTCCATCGGAATCACTTCCCTCATCTTCGTCCTTGAGCATTCGAGGCATGCAGAAACCAGGAATTTGAAAGCTTGAATTGCTACAATTGGTAAAAATTATCAATGAACCCATTCTAGAAGTTACAGGTTATTTAAATGAAAAGACTATTTTCTTATAGGTAAAAAGAACCAATATATTCAAACCTTCCATATTCATCAACAAGCATGCCCTCCATTTCCCTGAGAGGATCATCCAATGACCTCTCTGTTCTAGATGAACGCCGAGAGTAGGCACCACTGGAGGATGAGCTACTGAGTGACTCCAGTTCTCGGATATGACGACGAATTATTGATTCTGGAAGGACCCCTCTCTGTGACCAAAGTCTTAAAACCTGTGGCAGACAATGAACGGTG